CAGTTCCCAGGTGTTGTTCTCTATTAGTGAATTGTATTCGAGTTCCATGGCTTCTAGTCATGGAGCCTCCTGTACATGCGTTAGGTCATGCCCTTCTTCTGCAGTAGAACATGGTCCCGTCTGATACATTTTCCTAGGTCTGCCCGGTTTTCCTGTCCTTTCAATTCGTGGGCGACCTCTTCTTTTAATTGAAGCTCCCTGTTCAACTTGTTCCTGATTCATCGACAGCTCCTCTTCCTCCTGTTCAACATAATCCTCTTGTGATTCTTTAACACGTTCCGTGCCAAGCCATTTTTGCCTGACTTATCGTTCAGGCCATTTGATATTTTGACTAAAGATTAATATATTATCACACAATATTTTATTACATCCTCAATACATAAGTAATTCTTTTTTTCTTTTATTCTATACTGCATCTTGTATAATGCTTCATTGTTTAGGTAGAAATATAGTTTACAGAATTATATTTGTAATAAAATATATGTTTTCAGCGCATTGAATAAATATGACTGCATGCACCACCGGTGGTACACGTGGCCTGACGATCAAGTTTACCGTGTACCACCGGTGGTACACATGGCACGGAACGTGTTAATTAACTAAATCATTTTTACTTGCATGATTGTGTGACTATAAATGTTAATTTTCATCTTACATGAACAATATTCTGTTCTTCAATGAATCGTACATCTCTTTCAATTATTACAGTTCTTGTTCCTCGTTCCCATAAACGATAAGCCTTAGATTCCGTAGAGTATCCCACCAACACATATTCTTTTCCTTTTGGCTCAAATTTGTGTCCTTTCCTAAGACCCTTTTTCAGTGCTATTACTCGACTTCCTATTTTCCTCAAAAATCCTATGTACGGTTTTTGTCCAGTCCATTCCTCATATGGCGTTGTATCTTGATTTACTTTCGTTGGGCACCTATTTCTTAAATAAACGGAAGTATTTATGGCTTCGGCCCACAGGGCATTTGTTAATTTACCCTGTAACATCAAGCAACGTGCCATTTCCACCAAAGTCCTGTTTGCCCTTTCTGCTACACCGTTCTTTTGAGGTGTATGGGGCACTGTGAGTTCTCTAGCAATTCCTTCCTTCTTTAACAGTTCGCTGAATTCGTTCGATAAATATTCCTTTCCATTATCAGTCCTCAATTTCTTTAATTTACACCCAGTCAGTCTTTCTGCATATGCTTTGTATTCCTTGAACGCTTCGAAGACTTCAGACCTATATCTCAGCATTTTGACATACATGTATCTACTTTTATCGTCTATAAATGTAACAAAATAACGTGCTCCCCCTAGGGATTGTACATTGAAGGAGCCACATATGTCACTGTGTACCAATTCTAATTATTCTTTGGCTCTGTAAGTTGCCATTTGATGTGGTAATTTATGTATTTTTCCTTTTGCACATACCTCACACACTGGATCTGAATTTTCTAAATGTTCGCTCATTCCAATAACCATTTCCTTTGATTTTAATCTTCTTATGTCAGCGTAGTTCAAATGTCCTAGTCTTTCATGCCATTTCACTAATGGTGTGTCGAGTGGTACATGGTTAATTCTATTAGCAACGTGTTTGATTTCTTCCTCAACAATATATGGGCCATTCTTTTCCTTCCCTGTGAAGATTATCTCACCGTTTTTGCGCATTACCTTCGCATAGCCATTCTCAAAAATTACTTTAAAGCCATTTTTAATCATTTGTGGTATTAACAGCAAGTTATTCTAAATTTGGGTGCGTACATTACCTCCTGTAGCAGTACTTCAATAGAGTTCCTCTTATCCCTTTTTACTGTCATTTGAACACTGCCCTTTCCTGAGGCTTCCACAGCTTCCTCGGTGCCTGTATAGATCTGCGTAGACATACTCCTTAGATATTTAAATTTATTTTTGTCATTTGTTATATGTATTGTTGCACAGCTATCCAAAATCCATGTTGTTGCCGTTACATGATAATTATTTAACGCTGCTGCCATGGCATTATTTTTCCAGTGTGGGGTATGATTTCGTTTACTTGTTTCGCTGCTTATTTTATGTGTATCGTTTGACCTATTGTGGGATTTAGAATAGCAATTTTTTGCGCTATGGCCATACCTGTTGCAATTATAACAATTTCCTTGAAATTCACGTGGCTTCTCCTGTGCATTCTTTGACCTGTTGTTGTATTTTGAATATGTCGAAAAACCTTTATTTGTGTCCGTTGCCTTTAGCCCTGTTTCTTTGTTTTCTTCTTCGTCATTATTACTTCTTCGTGTTTCCTCTTCCATTAGTTTGACCTTCAATTCCTCCATTGTTGGTAGTACTTCCCTAGATTCTATTGCTACGCAAAAAGTTTCGTATTCTTTAGACAACGAATTTAATAACATTGTGGCGACAGGGAAAGTTCCGTGTGGGAAGCGAGGTCTGGATTTTGTCAAAGACCTTTTGACCCGTCGAGTCAATAGAGTCATTAAGTTGTAAATAATTTTGCGCTGGCTCGGCGGGTCTAAGAGGCCCTCGGCCCTTTCCACTCGGGACTTCCTTAAAAAGGAGAGAGTTTTCTCCTTCGTCGGAAAATGTTTTTCGGGAGACATTCGAGTCTCGACCATCAAAGTTATCGCATCGCGCTATTGTCAATAAAGTATTTCGCCACATACACGATTGTATTCATTCACGTACATCACCTCAACATTATCGGTATCACTTCATCTGGAAGTTTTATTCCGGCCTTATTTAATTTTTGTACCGCACGAGTAAATTCATTTACATAATCCGTCATAGATGTACCCGTGTCCTTTTTCATGCGATAGAGCCGCTTAAATAACAAGCATTTCTTCATAGGCCCCTTAGAGGCGTAAATTTTCCTTAGCGTTTCCCACGCATCAAAAGAAGTACTGTCCAGAGTACGAGTGAAAAGTAGCGGGACGGGAACGGGGCAAAGAGGGTAGGCCGCTAGGACCACCTAATTCCCACTTTTCGACTCACGCGTAGCTCCCACCGTTCATCCGTAATGGTGTGGTTTTACATAGGTATAGAAACAGATATTGCTACTATATGTTAAAAAACTCTATCTTTTTCCTCTTACGCGATGCGTAAAACTTTTGGACATTACGACAATGGAATGCTGCTCAACGTATCGCTCGTTCTGTCTCACTTGTTCTACATATATCTGACCCACTCTCCGCGTCACGCGACCGATTAATGTATGTGTGCGCCTCGACAAATAGCGTGTTATTGCCAAAATGCGTGTGACAATAGGCAGCAACGTTACAATCCGACCACTGCGATGCTCTTTTCGTCCCTCTAGCCCCGTTCCCGTCCCGCTACTTTTCTCTCGTACTCTGGACAGTACTTACATTATTGAGGTGCGTGTATTGGTCAGTTTGAACACACAGCATGATCAGGTCCAAAGCCTTACCGTCTCTAATGTCCCATGCTGCACTGTTCTCTTGGGTTTTTACTATATCCCTTGTCACATATCCCCATAGATCATTGTATCGTAAAAGGAACTTCATCTGAACCTTCCAAGACTCATAATTTCCGTTGTTCAGCTTCTCCACGTGTTGCACATTTAAGATATTGGCGGCCATCGTTCTCTTTTAATTATTAACAACGCACGTTTTCGCAGGGCTATTTTTCCTATTCTATTTAATTATATCGGTTTCACGCACTAAAACCGTTCTCTGGGCCCATAACCTGATGCGATTTAATATATTTTATTCAAAGATTCAACGAACATATTAAGATTACAACCGATTACACGATACATTTCCGACGCTCTGCTGCACGCGGTCGCCTCGCACGCACTGATAAGTTTTGAACAAGCGCGAATCGGTTCCGAACCCTCCCGAACGCACACGAGGCATGCAGTTGCATTCCTTACAAATAAGACAGTCGTGCAAGATCAGACCATTACAGCATTACCTGAGAAAAAGTTTTCACCCCGGGACAAAAAATATACAATATAACAGTTTAGTAGATAAACAAAATATGTATTTGCCGCCACTTCATATTAAATTGGGAATTATGAAAAATTTCGTAAAAGGCATGGACAAAAACGGAGCAGCTTTTGCATATTTAAAATTAAAATTCGCAGCTTTGTCGGAGGCAAAAATTAAGGAAGGCATTTTTATAGGACTACAAATGCGCACCCTATTTAAAAATGAAGAATTTGAAAACCATTTGTCACCAATAGAAAAGAATGTGTGGGTAGCGTTTAAAAACACTTGTGCAAATTTTTTTGGATTGCACTGTTCAACAAATTACGTACAAATAGTTGAGCAATTGCTTCAAGCCTGTAAAGAAATGGGGTGTAACATGTCACCAAAAATGCATTTTTTACACTCTCATTTAGACTTCTTTCCTGAAAATCTGAGAAACGTGAGTGATGAGCATGGTGAACGATTTCATCAAGATATTGGTGTTATAGAAAAACGCTGCCTTGGAAAAGATGTAGTTTCTATGTTAGCAGACTATTGTTGGCAGTTAAAGAGTGAAGGAAAAGAAGTACTGTTAAGCCGCAGCAAGGAAACAAAATCAAACACTACCAAAAAATTACTACTTTCAAGGTTTATTGCAAAGGTCCGAGATCACGTACAGAGCACTGTGGTAAAGATGGACAGACTCAGGATAACTCAACTGTTTTGGGGAAATGTTCGGGGTTTTTATGCCCTTCGAAATACAAACTATGACGCTTAGATTGATAGGGCGGTTGTGACGCATGGAGGATGACGACGGTGTTGGTTTCGGTTATCGGTGCCCTTTGAAAGTATACGATGACTATGGAGGATGAGACATCGATGGTAATGTGTCATATCATAACAGTTATCGCATCGCGCTATTGTCAATAAAGTATTTCGCCACATACACGATTGTATTCATTCACGTACATCACCTCAAATTGGTGACCTGCCGACGTGATTTTCGGAAAAAGAGGTGTCGTGAGTGAATTATAAATACTTTTTCGTGTTATCAGTTTTTTTTATTTATCAAGTGTAGACACTAAATAGTGACAATGGCTAGTGAAGGTGCGAATCCTCAATTAGGTGATGCGGGCGCGAATTCTAGTGACGAAGTGAGTGTTGTGTCGCAAAATTTGCGTATACCTCAGTTTTGGCCATTAGAAGTTGCATTGTGGTTTAAACTATTAGAGGCTCACTTTACGTCCACGCGCATCACGAAAGACGAAACTAAATTTAATATCACCATCGCGAACTTAGGTGAAAAGTACATCGAACAGGTCGAGGATATCGTGGTCGATCCGCCCGAGTCAGGACAATACGAGCTATTAAAAAAAGAACTAATGAAACGGTTAACTGAATCGGACAGTACTCGGGTGCGGAAATTGCTCGAAGGCGAGGAAATCGGTGATCGCACACCCTCGCAGTTCTTCCGCGATTTAAAAAAGCTCGCGACTCCGTCAGTGCCGGATGATTTTATAGTGACGTTGTGGAAAAATCGGTTGCCCGCGAACACTCAACGTGTGCTTGCAGCCGCGACGGAGACGAACATCACGGCGCTCACGGAAATGGCAGACAGGATTCACGAGATTCGTCCGGAACGTGGACATCTTGCATCGGTGTCTCGTGA